TATTATAGCTTTAGAATTTCTAAGTGATTAGACGTAAGTTTCATATTATTCCTTCTAATTTCTATGATAAAATATAATTATGTATTTACTATTCGGGTAGGACATAATCAACTAGTATGAGTAAGTTATTCAAAACAATTAAAAAGAGTGTAAAACGGATTTATAGTATCATTAATAATATTAGATGATATTATACAGATATTAAGATAAATTATATAGATGATTCATAGTTTTATATTTGAGTAATACATAGTTTTTCATTTAAATATACTCTCTAATTCATTATAGAGAACAGCCAAAAAAAAAAAAATTAGTTTTGGAATTAAAAATAATATATCAATTTTCTTATCTATTAATAACCATTTTCTAAAGCTAATTTGGCACTATATATAATATATGATTATGTCTCTGATGATAGACTTCATTTTTATATTATAATTTAGGAGCATAATATGAATCCACAAAAGTGATCAATATATTAATTAACTTCCTTAAGTCCATGTCAAACTTTATATCAATAACAATGTGCGAGTGGAAATGACTGTAGAACTTATATATTGTTTTATAGTTGTTAGACCAAGACTTGATACACACTAACTACATGAATATAAAATGAACCAATACAAAATTGTGAAGATTATGGAAACATTAAGTTAATTTTTTCTTTCTTGAAGAAGACTAATCAACCACCTAAAGTAGAACATAAATAATATCAAATTAGATAAAGTAAAAGTCGTCCTTAGTGGTTGACCAAGAATAACATAAATTAATTGCTTTTATTGACAAAGACGTCCTTAGTGCTACAATGATAATTTATTTTATTGTAAAAATCAAGAATACAACTTTAATTTGTACTAAGAATATCTCTATCAACCTCAATTCAGTCTAGTATATTCAATTGCTAATTTTATTCGCACCGCTTCGAAAAAATGATCGATACTTGAACTTGTAGAAGTGGAAGATGACAAACTTTAGTGAATAGAAAGGTGGAGCTCATGGAAATGCCGAGATCAAGATGGTCCAGTCCCACCTACAAACACGATGATGCAGGGACCGGGACTTAAGAACGAAAGTGTAAAAAACCCCGAAAAATATGATGTGAAACTTTCTTAGCCCATTATACGAGTGGTTGCCATATAAATGATCTGACAATTCAGATTATCATTGGAATTTGGAGATAAGTAAAGTTAATTACTGCAAAACTTATAACGTGCAACTTATAAACCTAAAATATAAAACTTATAATATAAATCTTTATATGACTCTATTATAACTTTGAAATTTCTAAGTGATTAGACGTAAGTTTTATATTATTTCTTCTAATTTTTATGATAAAATATAATTATGTATTATTTATTTATTATTTGGATAGGATATAATCAACTAGTATGAGTAAGTTATTCAAGACAATTAAAAAGAATGTAAAATGTATTTATGGTATCATTAATAATATTAAATGATATTATACAGATATTACGATAGATTATATAGATGACATAATAAGTCCCATAAAAACTGTTTTAGGCACGCACAATTATAAAAAGACGTGTGATTTACTTAACCACTCAAAACGACATGCCATAAAACCATATAATGAAGTCGATGCAAAGCAAGGACCATGGTCACCAACTCCTTCCCAGCCGCAATTTAAACCAATAACCATCTGACACGTATCCCGCAACAATCACATGCTGGGTGGTGCACTGGAAAATGACACATTTAATTTCCACACGCTCCATTGACAAGTCTCTTGTTCTTTTTGTTAGAGTAGATGCCCTAGAGCCAATCAATTATTGTGGAATTGACTCTTTGTAATAATGTTCATTAATCAATAATAAAAGGCATTTTATTCTATATCGCGTAAATCATTATTATTGCAATATGNTCTCTCTCAAATTCCTCCTGATTTTAATCGATTCACTAGTTTGACACACCTTAACCTTTCCAACTCAAACTTTTCTGGTCAAATTCCATCTGAAATCACCCACTTATCTAAATTGGTCATGCTTGATCTTTCTGAAAATTCCCTTGAAACAGCTACTGTAAAGGGGTTAGTTCAAAATTTGACCGATTTAACAGAACTTCTTCTTGATTCTGTAAACATGTCTACTGTCGTACCAAGTTCCTTCATGAATCTATCTTCTTCTCTGTCTTCTTTGAGTCTCTCACATTGTGAATTGCAAGGGAACTTTCCAGATAGCATCTTTCACCTACCCAATTTAAAAATCCTGAATTTAGCACGTAATTACAATTTGACAGGTATTTTGCCAAAGGTTAACTGGAGTAGTCCCCTCAGGTTTTTGGATGTCCTTGACATGACTTTGCCTGGAGAATTACCTAATTCCATCGGCAATCTCGTGCACTTGACACATTTGGATTTCTCTGGTTGTAGTCTTAATGGGTCAGTTCCTATTTCACTGGGAAACCTTACAAAACTCAATTATTTGAGCCTCTCAGCTAATAATTTTGCAGGTCAAATCCCTTCATTTCTTTCCAATTTTGATCAGCTCCATACATTAGGTCTTGCAGTCAATAATTTCATCGGTGGATTTCCAGAATTTTTTGTCAACTTAACTCAACTTTCTGTTTTAAGCTTAGCGTCTAATCAACTAGCTGGTCCAATCCCTTCTCAAGTAAGTCCCCGTGGAATTCTAGTTTATATTAATTTATATGATAACTCTTTCAATGGGTCCCTACCATCTTGGCTATTCACTCTACCTTTATTATAGTATGTGGACCTCGGTTTTAACCAATTAACTGGCACTATAGATGAATTTCAAAGTAAATCGTTGAAATTTATTTATTTAGATAATAATAGATTGCACGGGTCAGTTCCGAGTTCAATATTTGAATTTGTGAATCTGACTATTCTCTTTCTTTCCAATATCAATCTATCATTCAACAATAACTCTTCCTTTAGCAAACTTCGGTACTTGACATTATCGGCTTGTAACATAAGTGAGTTTCCAGATTTCTTACGTAGCTCACACCAATTGGAGTATCTAGACCTTTCTGACAACAAAATCCACGGTCAACTTCCCAAGTGGATGTGGGACATAGGAAAGGAAACTTTGCTCCGTTTAAATCTTTCCCACAACTTTCTTACAGGCATAGATCCACTTCCATGGAAAAATCTTAGACTTCTAGACCTTCATTCCAACTTGATTCAGGGACCACCTCCAAATCCACCACCTTACTTGAGTTTTTTTTTTTTTGTCAAACAACAATTTCACGGGAGAGATACCTCTCAGCTTTTGCAATATGAGTGTCATACAAATTCTAGATCTTTCTTATAATAATTTGAATGGTACAATTCCAAAATGCGTGGGAAACATTAGTAGTCTCCATGTGTTGGATCTACGAAAAAATAGATTGCATGGCAGCATTCCTGGAATATTTGCACGAGACAATCATTTTAGGACTCTTAACTTCAACGGCAATGGACTTGAAGGGTCGATCCCACGAAGTTTGGTTAATTGTATCATGCTTGAGGTTCTAGATCTCGGAAACAACAAGATAACTGATAGTTTCCCATATTGGTTGGGAGATCTTCCGAAGTTGCAGGTTCTTGTTCTTCGCTTCAACAACTTTTACGGTTTTGAGTGGGGTTCTTCTAAATTTAATGGTTCTTTCCCTATGCTGAGAATCTTAGATCTCTCACACAACAATTTTGGGGGTCATTTGCCAACAAGGTTGTTTGAGAATCTAAAAGGTATGGCGAATCTTGATGAAGCCAAGAGGAAGTTGAATTATATGGGTGAAGACTATTATCAAGATTCAGTGGCGATCGTAGTTAAAGGTTTTGAAATCCGACTGGAGAAAATTGTTACTACTTTCACTGCCATTGATTTATCAAACAATTCCTTTCACGGAGAAATTCCAAACTCAATTGGAAAACTTCATTCACTTCGACTCCTCAATCTCTCTCAAAATAGCCTAACCGGTCATATTCCTTTGTCTTTAGGAAATGTGACTGCACTTGAAGCTTTAGACCTATCTTCAAACAAGCTTGTTGGAGAGATTCCATCGGAATTGGTAGGTTTGACCTTTCTTGCAAAGTTAAACTTATCACAAAATCATCTTGAGGGGCCGATTCCTCGGGGGAACCAGTTCGAGACCTTCCAAAATGACTCGTTCAGTGGAAACTTGGGCCTTTGTGGATTTATGTTGTCAAACAAATGTGATATTGATGAGACACCACAACCAGAATCATCAATAGACCATGATGACGAACACAACATTCCAACCTGGGTAGATTGGAAAATCATTATGATGGGTTACGGAAGCGGACTATCACTCGGCTTAACGATAGGATATATAGTTTTCTCAACAGGAAAACCACGATGGTTTCTACGGATGATTGATGGGCTTATTCGAAGATGCAATAGAAAGACTAAGCGAAAGTGATTCTCTTGACAAGGTTAGTTCGGTTAAATTATTCATCCATTTTTTTTTTCCTCCAGATTTAGGATCTCCATTAATTAACACCTATTTGAAATTTGTGCAAATGTTATGGATCAATGTTTTCTAAAATAATATAATTATTTTATACATGTAACATCCATATATATATATAACCTGGCTGCTTTATCTTAATGCAGGAACTTGCCTGTGGGTGACCGTGTAAGGTGTGGAGATGAGTGTGATAAAGGATTGCCAAATTTCTGGATTCATCGTTTGTAGTTGAATATGTAGCGTTAAGTAATGTTGTATCAATTTCAAATGTTCCTTGAATAAATTTCAAATTTTCCTTGTACTTTCATTTAAAACTTGTGCAATCAAGATGATAAAATAATCACTACTGATAATTAATTCCAAAGAGAAAGAAGGATAAAAATATATATATATATATCAGAAAATTTATGACAATATTATTTTAATGGGATTTAAAATATTTATGACAATAGTATTTTAATGGGATTTAAAAAGTTTCATGAAAATTTTGTTTGAAAAGAAATCATGCATTTGTGGAAAGTAATTTTAGAATTGTAAGAGATTAAGTAAACAACTTGGTTGTAGACATTAAAAATCAACTTTAATTAAATCAATTTTAAATGCAATATATAGATTATTCAAAAAAATACATTATTTAAGGCAAAAGTTGAATTTTGAAATATCAATTAAACTAATACTAAATTTATAGAAAATTAAATTATATAATATCCTAATTAGCAATTGCCTCAATTGCCAAGGAGAAATTATATTAAATGGCAAAATTGTCCACATCTTATAATGCTGGAGGTAAGTACAACTCCAAACCTTAATAATAAAAGTGTAAACTGCAAAACTTATAATGTGAAACTTATAAACCTAAAATGTAAAACTTATAATATGCATCTTTATATGACTCTATCATAGCTTCGGAATTTCTAAGTGATTAGACGGAAGTTTCATATTATTTCTTCTAATTTCTTTGATAAAATACAATTATATATTATTTATTTACTATTCGGGTAGGACATAATCAACGAGTACTGAGTAAGTTATTCAAAAATATAAAAACGAGTATAACGTATTTACGGTATCATTAATAATATTATACAGATATTATGAATTTACGATACGTCTAATAAAGACGATTATAAAAAGACGTGTGATTTACTTAACCACTCAAAACGACACGCCATAAAACCATATAATGAAGTCGGTGCAAAGGGAGGACCATGGTCACCAAGCAAGAACCACTACACAGTCGCAATTTAAACCAATAAGCAGCTGACACGTACCCCCCAACAATCACATGTGGGGATTTACACTGGATAATGACACATTAATTTCCACACATTCCATTGACAAGTCTCTTTTTCTTTTCTTATAGGTAGGTGTTGACTTGTTGACTTTCAAGACCCACCCTAGAAGCTAGTAAGTAATCAAGTTTCATGAGAAGTCTAGGGTTTCTAATCCTAATTGGCTAGTTTCAAGCTTAATTTTGGAAGCATTTTCTTATGGGTATGTTTGAGTCTAGGGGGATAATTTATTCAGGTGATTAAGAGAGGTGTTTAGCAGGATATGCTGAATTAAGGCTCTTTCAAACTCCTTCGGAAATGTCTCTAATTGTTGACCCTAGATGAGAAAATCCTACTTAAAATTACCAAATCTTATCTACTAGATTCTTGGATCAAAGGTTTGTCTTCTAACACTTAAGAGAATCAGAACCAAAGCCAGAAGATATGGATCTCAGATATTTGTGTCATCAATACCAAACCTACTAAAGAATAATGCAGAATCAAAACATGTGCAACAACAAACAACCTGATATAGATATGCCAGTCTAGCGGCCGATTCTAACATGACAAGGTTTATCAAACAGAAGAATCAAAGCACGAGAAATGTCGACACCGGGCACTACAATTCCAACCTGTAGCTACTTCTAACAAATGTATATCACGGTGTTTATATATCATCTAGAAAGAATTGGTCGAAAACAAACAATTAGTTTAGTAGGATGTATCCGTATATAATATATCAACACACTGGTGCTGACAACATATTACTGGTGTATAACCAATGGGAATAGTGCATCAAGCACATGGTCTAAAAGAACTTATTGACTATCTCGGGAAAGGCCTTGCAACAGATTGTCGATATTCAATCTTAAAGGTGGGAATCTGTCGTAAATGAACAGATTACCCAGTTTCTATGCTCCACAGGAAATCAGAAATTATAACGGCGTATATTTTGATGGACATTTAATAGATATCAACCATGAATTAAGTATTCGTAGTAGAGATCCAACAGTTAAGTACTGAAAGAATTAAAAGAAAAAAAAAAAAAAAATCATCCATTTTCAACACGTCTACATGTAGGTACGAAGTTGCTTTGGTACCTTCCCTGTGAGTGAGCCTGTTCATTTTTATACTGCATTGTTGTTGTACCGCTCATGTGATCAGCTTTAAATGTCTCAGTAGCTGCAAGACTGATGATAGAGGTTCAGGTCAAGGCCGTCAACATTCCTACCAACTCGTGCCCGCAAAATTGCCTGAAACCAGAAGGGCCCGTTGATACATTTAACGTAACTATGATACATGGAGTGAGCTAACACAATGTCAAGCCTTCAACCAATAGTAACAACCCCTTACCTCATGTCAAGCTGAATATGGAGTTCACCAATAACTGATAGATGACCCAACTCGAAAACTAAGGTCCCTCAGGTGCTGGGTGTCGATCTTTAAGATGGCACTTCCATCAGCAATTATGGCTATGGCTGTCTCCACGGAATACTCTTGTAACCTGAGGAAAACAAGAAATATTTATCTTTGATATAAGATATTACAGTAATAAAATAATTAATTTGAAACAATACATGGGCAAATCATCCAAGCTCTGATATCACAAACCAATATAATTATTAGAACCGTTGACCTATTCCCAATAGTTAATCAATCTCACTTAGCTATAAATCATATATAATAGAAAAGATTACCCTTTAGAAATGGTATATATATCATTTGTTGGCACTAGCTGAAAATATTTACCTGCTGAAAAGAAACCTGATTGGGTCATACTGGTTTTGTTGACATCCATGTTGACATGTTACTATGGTTTTGTCTTCAACAATAATCTCACTTAACGTCTTAATCATGCAATCTTAATCACCATAATAGAAACGATGACCATAGAGGAAGGTATAAATATCATTTGTTGGCACTGAGGAACGGTTCCCTTGTCAAAAGGAACTTGATTGGAAAATAAGGTTTTGTTGGCATCCATGTTGAACAATGAACTGTAAACTACCGTTCAACAACTAATCTTGCTTAAATCTGATCATGTACAACTGAAAGGATTACCATTGAGAGATCGTCTAAATATCATTTACAGGAACCGAATAAAGATATTTTCCTGACAAAAGGAAGTCTGATTGGATAATAATGGCTTTGTTACATCCACATTAAAAAGTTCTAATATCTAGATGAAAATTGCATTTCAACAAATTGCTTTTTGACATGTTGAAACGTCAAAACAACTAATGACATCCAAGAAAATTATTATCCAAACACAAACATCAGGGACGATCAGCACTCTGAAAATGTACCAGGTGTTTGCACCGCTCTTCAGTAATGCGACAAGATAAACAATCAAAATTTCTGATATGACTGACATAAATTCTTACTCTGTGCCAAATCAACAAACTTTCCACCAAAGGCCCTTGTATGCCCGTCTTTAAACAATCAACCCCACTACACTATTGCTGTTATTTATACCAGACTGAGGCCACCAACTCATCTCCACCCTTACTCACACCTCATTTCATCCCCCAAAACATGACCACACTACACTTGCTCCATCATCCTGGTCCAGTGCACACTTGCTTTTTAGCTCAATTACATTACCACAACTCAAAATCCAAAACAGAAAAATATGTAAAATACAATAGAACTCTAAATCACAACAACTCAGAATCCTAATGAGCAATCTAGACATAAGAGGATCTATTCATTTTTTTTTTTTCTGATACTAGAAATCCCTCAACCTTTCCCTGCATGTCCACCAGTTCTTATCTGGGTTTCTAACAGACTCAACAACCTTAATAGTTAGAAATTTGGACACTATAACATCCCAATCAGGCATTCAAGGGGATTTGCACCCTTGACTATCAGTTGAACCAAGGGCTTTTACCACAATGTCCACCCCTTGGTGTTAGGAGGAACTATTCAGTACTGCTAGTGTTATTCAAAACGTAATTATGAAACAAAAGAAGCACAGGTAAAAATAACAGATAATTTATAATAGAGGGTACTAATCTTTTGAGGGGAGAAGTCTTACTTCCCAGTAACTCTTAGCGAAGCTCCTCCTCAAAGAATTGAGATGGGTTTAACCTGGTAAAGTAACCAATGCCCCAGATTTTATTGCCGAGGATGCCATCAAACTGCCACAACTCACTCAAAAAGCGCCAGCAAGCTACACTCCCACACAACAAACTAACCTGAGATATCAATTAGATCAATCAGAAAAAACAGCCCAAGATACAATCTTCATCATAGACAAAGCGAAACAACTGTTTTAACTTTTTTCCCCTCCTTCTGATAACCCAGATATACCCCAAACTCCTCAGTCTTGTCAAATTCAAACTCAAACCCCGCCAAAGCTTAAACTCCAAAAACTCATAGCATTTCACCAAATACAACGGATTACTAAACTCTAAAGCTGAGTTTTCCTTATATTGCCATTGTAATATTCCTTTATAATTAATCACTGTACAGAGCATCTAAACAGCCGCACTGACTGGACCTAATAAAGTACTAGTAATCTACTACTTCCACAGACATCTAAAAATGAATCAAACAACAAATTAGTGCATGAAAACACACATTAGGCTCAGAAACCACTCTAATAAGATAAACCCTCTCATTACTTCTTCTCCCACCCAACCACAAAATTGTTCAAATTACACATTAATGCACGAAAATTCATAGTTCCAAATTTACCCAGATAAAAACCAACTTAAACAAGTTTCTTTGACGCATACAATCAAACACCTTATACAGTTACACGAAATCAAAGTTGAATAATAACAAGGCATCAGAAACCACTCTAAGAAAGATAACCCTCTTCATACTTCTTCTTTCTCACCAAACCAACAAAATGGATCAGAATTTACTGCCTCAGCTACCCAGATATACTTAAGCTAAACTAATCATAACTCACTACACAGTCAAAGACCATAACAAATTCACGTAACAAGAGCGTAAAAATGGGTTGAAATGACTTTACATTTCCAATAAATCAGATTACCAGGGAGTCTAGAACTTGCTTTGCTTTCAATTCAACCTACCTGAAAACTTTATAACGGCAACAAGACCCCTTAAAGTCAAAGATCACATCTCTTCTTGAGATATAAAATAACTTAAAAGACAGTTATAAAAGCAAAATTTTTGGAAGAAAAATCGAAACAAAATCAACACCAAAATTTAAACACATCTTACCAAAGATTTATGGTTCTCTTAATGAGAAAGAAGAAAAAGCGATCTTTCATTCCAGGAACATCTTCTCTTAGGTGAAATGAAAGTGACAGGGTACGTTAAAGAAGCTTGGGAGCGAAGGCACGTGGAGGGTCGAATGTTGGAATGAAGGACACCTGGTGCAATGGGATTTGGAGTTAGGTTTAGGGTTCCGAGTCACATGCCACGCACGCTAGAGTGAAGGAGATTCAACTGCGTATTGCTCCGTATCAAATATTGTATCTATAAACAATATCAAATTTAAACTCTTGTTGACATTTCAACGCCTCAATTTTTGGCTGCTCTTCATTTTTGCTCACATCTGTCACTATCTTCTTCTCTTTCTCATCTTCAAATGGGCCCTTAATGGGCTTAAGATTTTCATGTCAATTGGATTCTTTTTTTTCTCATCATCAAATGGGCTCTAAATGGGCCTAAGATTTTCATGTCAATTGGGTTCTTCTTTTTCTCATCGTCAAATGGGCCTAAGATTTTCATGTCGAATCAGTTCTTTCTTCTCATTATCAAATGGGCTCAAAATGGTCCTAAGATTTTCAAGCTCAATGGGCATTTGTTTTTCTCCTCAAATGGACTGTAAATTCTCTATCATTTGACATAAATGGCGAGAGAAACTCTATGGTATCATATAGGTATGATTAACGTGATACTATAAGACCATGCATTATATTTAATAATTATCCATCACAATTAATTTAAAGATATAGAAGAGAGAAAAAAGTGATGAATGACACAAATTCACTAGAAGCCTTTGTTGAACAGAAAACCACTCGAAAATGGCAACCCAGCTAACTCCCGAAGAGATCCATGAGATTCTCAACGACTTGAAGAGAGCAATGAACATGGAGGTTCAAACATCCGAACAGGCTGCAGAGCAAGAAAACTTGTTAGTGACAACTTTAAACCGTCTGCGTAATCGAAGCCTTTCTATGTTACATCGTGAAGCCTTTGAGGTAGTGCTCTGTTCCTGTTTTCACTACTATTCTTATTTATTTCATTAATGTTTTGGTTCAGTTTTCACTAACTACTCATTTATGCTTTGATTTTGATATTGCAGGCAGGTATGGCTCTAGGCATGCTATCACAACACACTGATTCTGATGTCTGAGACAGGGCCATAAGTCACGATTGTTGGTACTTATATAATAGTAATCAGTAGCAGCTTTGAACTATGAATCAGATCATCTAGGGATGATAGCATGCAATTATGAAATTCATAGAAAATTAGAGATTCTGAAGTTTTTAATAAATATAAAGTGGACTATGTGTATTATTTTTAATCAGCTATGTGGATTGTGCGAGGTAGTGGACTGACAGAAATGACAAAGACTAGTTAGCTTTGTTCCAAAAGAACTGGAATTATCTACTTCAAATGCAACGAGAGATTAAATATAAAGATAAACATTAAGATAAAGATAGTGGACCTTTGATGTTTGAACTTGGGGTGCACATTCATGTGCTGAAGCCTGATCCTAAATAAAAGGATTCAGATTTGCACAGGAAGCCCAAAATTGCATAGATAAAATATAGAATGTTTTTATCCATGTTAAAAGCTTGAACTCAATTAATCAACAACGTAGAATTGAAGGAATGTATTAAATAATTATCAGATTTATTTTCTAAAACGGCTTATTCTTTATTAATTAGTTTATACGTAGATAGCAAGCATGCCTGTCATGTTATATGGCCTTTCTCGTATTAAAAGAAGATGTTATTTAATTAAGCAATGCTAGTTTTACAAAAACACATACAAAAGGGGTATACAAAGACAATCCATATCTTTCATTTTCATGATCTCTCTCTCTCTCTCTCTTTTTTCCTTTTTTTTTTGTTTTTTTCTACTTGCTAATGTCACTTTGTAACCCTCCTTTTATGAATCTTTGTAAGGATAACATTTTTCTATTTAATTTTAGAAGTTGGCAAAATCTGTGTAGTGTTAGTTTTGGTTGAGTGGACGGGTCAATCAAAAGAATCAAGGTTTATTTCAACATGAAGTATTGGATGAGAAAGTTCAAGCCGAAGAATGAAATGAAGTTGATGAATGCTTGTCAGGATTAACAAAAGTTGATGATAACACTATTCTATGAAGATATTTAATTTAATTACCGTGCTAACGTGCTTACCAAAAAAAAAAAAAAAAAAAAAGTTAGGAAGTAGAAGTATCTTGAAGCACTTGATAGCTATATGTAATTTGCATTTATCAGTAAAAGTTTTTTAACCAGGAACAGTACAAAGAAATTACACAATTTTTATAACTCTCAATAATTTTAGGTAATTTTTGTGGGTTCTCAATTTCCTCTTAAATAATGAGCTTTAAACTAAAATTTTGAATCTGTTTATGGTCAATTTGTTAGAATTCAAGTAAGAAGTATGGCTGAGTTTAAGAGGTCTTACTTTCATTGAAAACCATTCAAACTTAACAAATAATGCATCGAAACTCTGTTGATTGTTATGTCTTGAAAGCTAGTTATTTTGAATTAATGTTTTATTTTTCTTTCTCTTCCAAGGAAAATAAATTTTAAGGGGGGATTTTAAAACAAATTTCATGATTTGTAAAACTTTTAATAAATTTCAGTAATCAAAATTTATGTAAAGGAATTTTTTTTTTAGTTGCTCCATTTGATCAACAAGAACCTGTTTGGTTGAGTTCATCTCTGTTGTTAAAAAAAAAAAAATTTAAAACCAGCATTTTGAAATTCTTTTTAACTTGTAATTTTAAAAATATTCTTATATTATATAAAATTGACTTGATCAATTCTTATATATTATGATCATTTTTGGCAAATTAATACTAAAAAGTTGTTTTACATTTTTCTTAGGTATATTGAATGTTATTTATTCAGAAACTTCAAAACTTCAGGTTAATAATGTAAGTATTTCAAGGTAACAGGGCTTTATAAAATATTAGTAAGGAATATATTGTGATGTTTTGAAACTATTAAATATTAGTTATTCATGGAACCAAAGAAGATTAGTTTAATTAAATATTTTTAGTGTTCTTAAAGTCAATAAAAAATTAAAACATCCTCATCATTTATTCGGGATATTCTCAAAAATCAAAGAGAATTTAAATCAATACTGCAATTTGAGTTATAGATTCAAACTTTTTATTTGAAGATGACCTTAGAACCATTTCAACATTCAACATTGGTTACATTAACCAGACCAAATAGCAGCTGCCTTATTTATTGATAAACTGAATTTTCTTCCAGACTGGTTGGGGTTTGGTCGAATTCGAATATTGAAACCGTGTGCGTGGCTGAAAATTACAGTATAATTAATTAGTGCTGGACGTGCACCACAGTTAACTTCAGGCCACCTCAAAAACATTTGAGATTCTAGATAAGAGTTATTTTAGAGTCCTTTTAATAATATAAACATATATTAAAAAAATTATTTCAAATTTATTTTTCTTATCTTTTGAGATGCAAAATCACTAATTAAATTTTTATATTTAAGTTTAAAAACCAAATATTTTTCAATTGATAATATAGTTAAATTATCTAATCTTTCTTGTGAGGGCGAGAGGTGGACGGTGGGCTATCGAGATTAGGTAAGTGAGGTGTTTTGGGGAGGGGGTTGAGAAGACAAAGATGGTGGTGTCAGGGAAGGTCAACGACAACGGATACGTGCCAGACATAGTTGTCGCACGCGATGAAGAATGAAAATGGGTTGCAAAAATCAGCCAAATTGGGGGTTGTCAAGGCTGGGAAAACATTTCGGAAATGATTAAGTGATGAATCCGATCAATTTTGGTGAGAAAATTGACCGGAATCATCACTTTAACACCGACAGCAACACTATGGTGGTGTAGAGGGGTGGAGATGTAATATTTTCATCATTTTAGGGATTGAATGGGTGTTTTGAAATTTTAGATATTTAAATAGCTAGTTTAGTTAATTTAGGGTTGTGAATGAAAAATAAGAAACATGGTTTTTTTTGTAAATTTATGTAAAAAAAAATTATAATGAATTTGGGTCTTTTTAGCTTTTTTGAGGCCCTTTCACTGATTTGGATAAAAAATTATAAACTTTTTTAAGTCCAATAGCAGTTCCGTAAATGTATTCCAAAAAATCTTTAAATAATTTTGGCCCCTTTTTGGGCTTTTTTTTGGGGGTTGGGCTGGCCCTGAGTTAACTTCCATGCGTTTAGTTTTGTCCTGCCAGTTGACTTCATTGACTTAGAAGTCTTCGTCTTCTCCCGATAGAACTCTCTACTTCCAGGCTTTGGCATAATGGCATTGCATTTATTTATTTCAATTCCAACTCCATCACTCTTCTTTTGCTTCATCTTCGATATTCTCACTGATGAATATTTGTTCCACCCTTCTCAAGCATGCATGCTTTTCAGGTCAGCTGCTTTTCATTTCTTTTAATTTGCTTATATATTTATATTTTTTTTTCCCAATTTTATGGATATTATTAGCATTATCTGGCTTGGTTTTGCTTCTTATTTAGATATAAATATTCACATTTATTCTTTAGATATAAATATATGGTTGAATTTGTAGCATAGTTTTAATTAATAGATATATTGAATAAATACTCACAGAATACATTTTTTTCACTCATCAAAATAGTCAAGATCATATATTTAAGGAGTTTGATTAGTGACTTACAAACTAAGAATTGATGAGTTTATAAAAATTAATATTAGTGATCATCTAGTTTAGAATTAAGGAGTTTTGTTAAATACCTAACTAACCAATAATATTTTATAAGTAAATTTGCATCATATTTAATGGAAAGTCCAGGTGCTCCTACTCATACTTCTATTACTAGTTCATACATCCCTAGCTAGGAGGAGCCTCCCTTACCGCAAGAAATGAATCCACAACCCTCGTAGAGATGTGACAATATGAACGATTTCTTTAGTCAGTACTCAGTACCCAATGATCTTATCCCCAGCTAAAAATAGGTACTGCACGGGTGGCCATGTGATTCAGTGTTTGTTCAGCTTCATCTTCAATAGATTTGAGTTAAAAAACATCAGGTAGCCATGTAGCTGTGACCCCGGATGAAGTTCTCATTTATTATTTTATTCATATATAGTATAACTAGTTAATATATAAACTCCATCCATCGTTGATTGTAGGCTGACAATTTCAGTGAAGCAACAATTTATAACTATTCCATCCATCGTTGATTGTAGGTTTATCCGAGAGAGAGAGAGAGAGAGAGAGAGAGAGAGAATGCATATCAGAATTGTATGTAGTGTGCGGGATGAAGTCATTCATCTACATTGAACCTGAATTGAAGCAATTAAGGATCACCATTGAAAAGGTCAGTACATAATCTGTACATGTTATGATTGTGGTTGAGGGTTTAGAGAATGAATAATACTATGCTCTCAAATGATATCCCAAATTTCCTATCCCAAGTGATGTGTTCTCTTATGTGGTTTTGATGTGTAAATAAAGAGTTGAGGTACTAAATGACATGTCAACGTATTAGAAGAGTTGAGGTATCCCAACCAAATCTTAGTCTTACTCAAATACCAGTCTTACTTATACTTGAATAGAAGCATAGAAAGATCACAATTAATGGAGAAATAGTATGAGTGGCTCGTATAGACCTACTGGGGTTGAGCTCAACAATTAATTGAACTACGTACTGAGTGAGAATCATTGATAAAAGCTTCATATTTATGTATATATAAACAATCACTTTTAGGCCATTATAGGGTAAACCTCTAACCCTAATCTCTAGATTTAATTCTTCACTTCATTAAAGCTCGCAACAGAAATGAGAAAAAATGATCATACACCAAAAGTCTGAAAACTTCTTTGGCTGACCCCAGAATCTAAATTGAAAACGACAAAGATAAAGCTTGTAGAGATCATAAAACTGCAAACAAATATTTAACAAATATAGCATACTGAAAAGTGAAACAATGACCTTACAAACAGAAAAGTACTTCATGATTGACCAAAATCATGAGAGTGGCACATAACCGAGTACTGTGTTGAACACAACAACGGGTTTTTTGAGTTTGATCTTGTACCTGGACTCTCCAGAAACTTCATCTGGTATCTTGAAAAACTCTACTTTGTATCCCTGTTGCAGATTCTTTTCATGAACGAATGGGCGCCAGCCTGCAGAAAGTAGTGGCTTCTTATGTCTTCCATTGCGGATGGTTAAAGTAAACCTTCTTATCTGGCCTTCTTCATCTTCTAAAAAGAGAGTTTGATGATTCTGGCCTGAAGGAAAATTAGGAAGATGGTTGAGAATGCAAGTTTCCATTACCAATCTGCCATCAATGTCTGTCTTACTTAGTAAGTTAGAGGACATCATCATTGACATCTCCATTACTACAAAGGTCTAATTAGTCTGGAAAATTAATTATATTTATAGAGGGGTGTGGGACCGGGTGTTTTGTAATGTAAGTACGCCACGGGAAGACACGTATAGCTCCTATAAATTTGTTTTCTAAACTTGAAAGTTGATACATTCATTTATAAATGAATATGATGTCAATTTGCAATCAGATTATTACCTAAAATGTCATCAGCAGGTTGTTCTAGTTAATCCAAGATGGCCGGCGTAGTGGAGGACAGTCAGGTGAAAGTAGTGATGGCTATGGTTAATGTTGGATGATGGCTTGAAACATTGTCATATTAGAACTTAAATAGGACGACGTTGTTTTGATCCAAACTGAGAAAACAATCATGAGCGTTGATGAAGAGAAGATCCAACGGTTGGAATTAAACCCTAACGTCAACCATATAAAAGCAGAGTTTTTTTGGCATTTTGTACACAGTATTCTTTTTGGCAAATCTCTCTCTTCTTCGTCAAACACCATTTTGGGTCTTTTAGGATTTCAATTTGGGTTGAGTGAATCTTGTAACTTGTTGATTGAGTGACTAGGTCAGGTCATTCTGGGTGTATTTGTATACGTTGTTTATANTATATATATATAGATAAAACTTCAAACAATCATATTGTTAATAATATTAAGTATCATGGTCAACAATTTAATTTCTACAAAAATATCTCAAGACCTCAATTCAGTCTATTCAATAAAATAAAATTCCACTATTAATTTCATTGGCACCACTTGGAAAACGATACTTGGAATTTGCAGAAGTATCAAATGACAAAGACTTTAAACATAACTACTAGTAGTGGTGGATTTTCATGAAAAAGAAGACAATTTCCCGTTCAGGCCTAGCAGATTCCGCGCTAGTACTCTAGTCCATGTTGGTTTCCGCGTTTGACAGATTAGTCCCCACCACAGAACTGATTCATGAAAAGGAAGACAATATTAATTGACCCTTCAATTCTTTCTATTTATAGTCTTGTATCTCCTCGTGATTTCATCGGTCGGAAAAAATGGGTTTTCTATTGCGGGTTTATCACGTTTTATACATTCAGTTGTTGTATTTGTGCTCTCAAAGTTCTGCATCACTCTGCTCTCCTGACCAGAGTTCTGCATTGCTCCAATTTCAGCAACTCTTTTCCTTTGTCAATCGTTCTTTCTTTGATTGTGATTATTATGATGACAATTCAGCTGTTCTTCAATTGGATACCCCACCATATTGTGATGGAAGGTTTCCTTCTTATCCTAAAACAATGTCTTGGAAAGAGGATAAAGATTGCTGCCCTTGGGATGGTGTCACTTGTGATTCTTTAACAGGTCATGTGATTGGTCTTGATCTTAGTTGTGGCTGGCTTCAAGGAAATATCTCTTCTAATAGCAGCAGCCTTTTTCTTCTCAATCATTTGCAAAAGTTGAACTTAGCTTACAATGATTTCAATCTCTCTCAAATTCCTTCTGATTTTAATCGATTCTCTAGTTTGACACACCTTAACCTTTCCAACTCATACTTTTCTGGTCAAATTCCATCTGAAATCACCCACTTATCTAAATTGGTCGTGCTTGATCTTTCTGAAAATTCCCTTGAAACAACTACGGTAAAGGGGTTAGTTCAAATTTTGACCGATTTAATAGAACTTCTTCTTGATTATGTAAGCATGTCTACTGTCGTACCAAGTTCCTTCATGAATCTATCTACTTCTCTGTCTTCTTTGAGTCTCTCGCACTGTGAATTGCAAGGGAACTTTCCAGATAACATCTTTCACCTACCCAATTTAAAAATCCTGAATTTAGCACGTAATTCCAATTTGACAGGTATTTTGCCAAAGGTTAACTGTAGTAGCCCCCTCAAATTTTTAGATGTCTCTGAAATGACTTTGTCTAGAGAATTACCTAATTCCATCGGTAATCTCATGCACTTAACGCATTTGGATTTCTCTGGCTGCTGTCTCAATGGGTCAATTCCTATTTCACTTGGAAACCTTACAAAACTTAATTATTTGAGCCTCTCTTATAATAATTTTGCAGGTCAAATCCCTTCATTTCTTTCCAATTTTGATCAGCTCCATACATTAGATCTTGAGAGAAATAATTTCATCGGTGTATTTTCAGATTTTTTTGTCAATTTAACTCAACTTTCTTTTTTGAATTTAGCAAGTAACCAACTAGCTGGTCCAATCCCTTCTCAAGTAAGTCCCCATGAAATTCTAGTTTTTATTGATTTATATGATAACTCTTTCAATGGGTCCTTACCATCTTGGCTATTCACTCTTACCTTTATTACAGTATGTGGACCTCAGTTATAACCAATTAACTGGCACTATAGATGAATTTCAAAGTAAATCGTTGAATTTACTTATTTAGATGATAATAGGTTGCACGGGTCAGTTCCAGGTTCAATATTTGAACTTGTGAATCTGACTTCTCTCTCTCTTTCTTTAAACAATTCAAGTGGAACTGAGCTTTACTTGTTTTCAGAGCTCAAAAAACTTGAAACGCTTGTTCTTTCCAATATCAATCCATCATTGAGCACCACATTCAACATTAACTCTTCCTTTACCAAACTTGAGACATTGAGTTTATCAGCTTGTAACATAAGTGAGTTTTCGGATTTCTTACGTAGCTCACACCAATTAGAGCATCTAGACCTTTCTGACAACAAAATCCACGGTCAAATTCCCAAGTGGATGTGGGACATGGGTAAGGAAAGTTTGTTCTGGTTAAATCTTTCTCACAACTTTCTTACAGGCATAGATCGACTTCCATGGAAAAATCTTGTTTATCTAGACCTTCATTCCAACTTGATTCAGGGACCACTTCCAAATCCACCACCTTCCTTGACATTGTTTTCTTTGTCAAACAACAATTTCACGGGAGAGATACCTCTCAGCTTTTACAATATGAGTGGGATAGAAATTCTAAATCTTTCCTATAATAATTTGAGTGGTACAATTCCGAAATGCATGGCAAACTTTAGTAGTCTTCATGTGTTGGATCTACGAAAAACTAGATTGTATGGCAGCATTCCTGGAATTTTTGCATGAGGCAATCATTTCAGGACTCTTAACTTCAACGGCAATGGACTTGAAGGGCCGATCCCACGAAGTTTGTTTAATTGTATCATGCTTGAAGTTCTAGATCTCGGAAACAACAAGATCATTGATAGTTTCCCGTATTGGTTGGGAGAACTTCGGAAGTTGCAGGTTCTTGTTCTTCGCTTCAACAACTTTTACGGTTTTGAGTGGGGTTCTTCTGAATTTAATAGTTCTTTCCCTATGTTGACGATTTTAGATCTCTTACACAACAATTTCAGTGGTCATTTTCCAACAAGGTTCTTTGAGAATCTAAAAGCTATGATGAATCTTGATGAAGCCAAAAGGAAGTTGAATTATATGGGTGAAACATATTATCAAGATTCACTGGCGATGGTAGTTAAAGGTTTTGAAATCCAACTGCAGAAAATTGTTACTAATTTTACTACCATTGATTTTTCAAACAATTGTTTTCACAGAGAAATTCCAAACTCAATTGGAAAACTTCATTCACTTCGACTCCTCAATCTCTCTCAAAATAGCCTAAATAGTCATATTCCTTTGTCTTTAGGAAATTTGACTGCACTTGAAGCTTTAGACCTATCTTCAAACAAGCTTGTTGGAGTGATTCCATCGCAATTGGTAGGTTTGACCTTTCTTGCAAAGTTAAACTTATCACAAAACCATCTTGTGGGACCGATTCCCCGAGGGAACCAGTTCGAGACCTTCCAAAATGACTCGTACAGTGGAAACCCAGGACTTTGTGGATTTATGTTGTCGAACAAATGTGATATTAATGAGGCACCACAACCAGAATCGTCAATAGACCATGATGAAGAACACAACATTTCAACCTGGTTAGATTGGAAAGTCATTATGATGGGTTACAGAAGCAGACTATCACTCGGCTTATCTATAGGATATATAGTTTTCTCAACAGGAAAACCACGATGGTTTTTACGGATGATTGATGGACTTATTCAAAGATACAATAGAAAGACTAAGCAAAAGTGATTCTCTTGACAAGGTTAGTTCGATTAAATTATACATCCACTTTTTTCCTCCAGATTTAGGATCTCCATTAATTAACATCCATTTGAAATTTGAGCAAATGTTATGGATCAATGTTTTCTGAAATGATATAATTATTTTTTTTTATACATGGAACATCCATATATATATATATATATATATATATATGACCCAGCCGCTTTATCTTAATGCAGGAACTTGCCAGTGCGTGACCGTGTAAGGTGTGAAGATGAGTGTGATAAAGGATTGCCAAATTTCTGGATTCATCGTTTGTAGTCGAACATATAGCATTAAGTAATGTTGTATCTAACTTGAATAAATTTCAAATTTTCCTTCTACTTTTTTCAACACATGGTTACAATTTTACTTGAGGATTTCGTTGAAGTAGGAACCTTTTTTCAACACATGATGTACTATTTGTAATGATGTGATAAGAATTGCAACTACTTTCATTTAAAACTTGTGCAATCAAGATGATAAAATGATCACTACTGATAATTAATTCTAAAGAGAAAGTAGGATAAATTAAAAAAATATATATATGATAGTATCAGAAGTACTCTTATCTACTTGAATCAAGTCAATATCTAAAATCCTGAAGTAATAATTATCTACAATCAGCACCGATTTCTAAAACTAAAATAATAAGAAGTGACATATAATTTTCAAAATTATAAGTCGTGTTTATTGCTCCTGGGTAATTGAGTTCCACAAGAATATCGGATTCTTTTACTAACTTAAATGATGCACCTTTCATTTAAAAACAAAACAAAACAGTTTGGACCAATTGAATTGAAAATCAATTTTCAGAAATTTTTTATCCAGAAGTTTTGAATAAACTCGAGCAGCTAGAATTCAAGTGATATAGCGCTGACAAAGATTTAGATTCACTATTTCATACAAGACAATCAGTACATTATGAATACAAAAGAATTAAGAAGTTATTCATTGAATATGTTTGGGGATTTTACCCTCTTTCAAGTGAGCAAGCGCGTACTCAGCAGTGTCAATGAGGTCTTCAATGTTGTGAATGGATCGCTCTTCAGACCCCAACATGAAAATGGCACGAGCCTCCGCCTTCTTCGAAAGCCTTGCTGCTAAACTCAGATCCAATTTGGGAGAGTTGAGGCTTCGCAGTATCTCCCGATACAAGGACAGAACACGCCCACGGTTGTTTGCCATGTCTTCTGCCGCAGCCCATATCAAACCCTTCATTATTTCTGCCTATAAATTTTCATTTCATATGTGAATAAAAAAAACATCATTGACGCATTTCATCGAACACCTCTCAATGGGCACATTAACTGTAAACAATAACATCTACTTTTCTGTAAGAAATGAGCTGACCCAGAACATATATTGACCACATATAACTAAGTTATATATATAACCAACGAGTACAATCATAGAAAATTACTGTAAAAAATTTATGTAAAAGAGAGCTTTTCAGTCACTTAATCTGACCGATTACTGGCAACTCAAGTATCAGCGTAAAAGAGACTTGGAGGGGCTTACCGGCGGCGAGAAAAGACCCACAACGAGTGTAATCGGAGGAAGACCATGCAGACTATGTGTCTGCTTTAAGGTTATTGGATAAAGAAAGAAACTAAAGCTGGAATATCGAATTACATTACTTTTATTCTTATTTTGGGGTTTATTTAATTATTTCACATATGGATTGTTTAATATTATTATTCCTAAATTTTTCGAAAATCATTAAAAAAAAAAAAATCCTTCTATAATTATTAAATATCCCTTTTAAATTGTTTAAAATCTTTGGAAACTTTAAATTATTCGCAATTATAAAGGGGTTTTTAATAATTTTTGAAAACTTTGAATAGACTGAGATTAAATGATCCCACAAGAGATGTAATGATTACTATATAAAAATATTCAAGCAAATTTTAAGAAAAATAAACATTACTTTGCTTATACTAATTTTTAATTATTGTGTCTATGGTATAAATTTTATACTATTATTTTAACATTAAATTTCTTAAGGTGTCTTCTCTTACAAAAAAAAAAAAAAAACATGAGATCACTAATAAACCGGAATTACATAATAGTTGAGATAAGTGATGAAATGAGAAATAGTTATATAGTATACTTATCTAATTAAATTAATGTGTTTTAGCAAAACAAGTCTCCTCTAAGAAAGAGAATTATTAAGAAAAATAGATATATATAACTGATACACGCATATAGCCTAAAACCTAAAACCATTATTCATTGACTTACACACTACATCATCGCGGGGAACTCTATTTTTCTTTACTTTAGCCCTTAACTTACTGTTAGGGTCAAAAATCCTCTTAAGCTTGATGAGGCCTAATAACGAAATAAACATGTCATAACCTAAGGACTCAACCCAATCCTGATTGGGCCTACGCTTAAAATCACCTTGCGACCTACCCATTCTATGAATCGGGCTATCCTATAAGTTAAGCTAAATTGGGTTTTAACCTATTAGCCTACAACAGTCTATAAATAGGAAATCAGAATCTCATTCTATTTTCTTTTCTACTAAAATTTCAAATCTTACTTAAACTATTAAACTTAATCTGATAAGGCCAAGAAATCATATGATTTCTTGATAGGGATTATCTCCGAAAAAAAAGGACTCAATGTCCTACAAGGATTTTAGCCCCTTGGGTTCACTATAAAAACAGAGGCTTGCCCTCTCATTAGACATGCAATCTCTCACAGTTAATCTACACTATTCAAAACCATCTATTTGCTCCTAAAGTTCTTGCTCCCAAGAACCCGACGTCTCTGCCGTAATCCTAGCCTCCGACATGACTCCTGGTAATTTTTCATCTCCTTAATTCTTATCAAATAATCTCTTTCAGCCTTGCTGACTTGAGCGTCGGAGTGCCTACGGCAAACACCATCCCGATGTTTTCTGGAAGCTTCACGCTTGCCCTTTCATGTGTGCAGGTCTAGCGAATTGTCAATGGTCTCAACCTCACGGGATCATACCCTATTTTATGACGGTATATTTTTTGCATCTACAGTTTAGCGTCCACTGTAGGGCCCTGACAATCATCTACCAATGACGACTTGTAACATGAGAGGAGACACGAAACTCCCCCCAACTGGCATCATTAACCCGAAAATCTCATCCCGATAGGAAAAATTTTCATTTCTTTTCTTCATTTTAAATCCATTGAAAGTATTTAGGAATCATTTACATATCATATTATGTCTATTAAGCATGAAATGTGATAAGTAGAAGCATCAAAACACATCTCCTGTGTTCATAATTTGTTTATGCATTAGTTGGAATACTGCTTACTTTTGTATATGTTTAATTTCTTTTTGGGAGGTAACTAAAACTCAACCAACCTTAATCCCAATACCAATTCAACTTCACAGAGATTTGCCACCACTTTGAAACCCAAAACTCGTCTACCTATTCTCTTAAAATCGCCCCAACAACTTCTCCAATCACACAGTTTTAATCCTAAAATACAGTCGTAATCTTCTCAAAACACCTAAAGTCATCCGCGAAACATGAAAAGAAACCTTACCAGAGAAATGGGAAGAACCCACAAAACATGTTTAGCCTTCGTCACACAAAAACCCACCAAACAGACACAAAACCACCTCTAAAAAAATAATAATAATAAATTAGAAATCGCGACCCACCTAGGAATTTCAAGTCCCTCACTGGGAATTCGTCGAAACCATTACTCCGTCCCCCTTCTTCTCAAAATCCGCCAAAACTGAACGAAGTATCGATCAAAAACCTCCTTGGGAAGCCACCGAAGTCTTAACAACCTCCTTAGACCACACCAAATCACTCCCAAAGATTTCCCCCACTACCCAAATTTTCCACCAAGTCGAATGGACAGAAATCTAGATAGCCTTGATTATACCCATTCCTTAGACTACTGTAAAATCAAGGGCCTCGCCATTCACGACTCTCTTCTCCCTCAGTTATTTATTTCAACCTCCTCTTGCATTCCCACCTACGATCTCATTCGCACCATCTCTCTCTCAATCTCAAATCAATAATGACAACACGTCAGTCCTTATGGCTCGCCATAAGCAAAACCTCGCAGTCCATTCAGTCGCCCTATTAAAACTGAGTAGCCAGCTAAGTGTATTGGACTTGCCCTCAACTCCAAATTCCAAAACTCCTCATTGATTACACTATCAAAGTCACTAGAAACCCCCCAAATAAACTGTTTTTCAAACTTCGAAAGACTAGAGAATAAAAACCCCAAACCTCATCGATCCTTCTCCAGAACTCAGTAATCCGAAAAACTCAGGGAAAAACCAAAAACCGAGTCTTCTTACCAAAACCCCATGAAACCTTACTCAACTAGCCTAAATTTCTCTACAAACTAAGCAAACAGAAGAGAATGGAGAGGCAAACAGAAATCAAAAGGAAGAAGAGCTTTATTGTCGAAGCCGTGAGAAGAAACCGAAAAACGGGTAGAATTTTCCTGACAAAGACACCTTCCAATGTTTTATCAACTAGAGTAAAGGGAAGGTGCAGGAAAAGAAAATGAGCAAAACGATGAGGGAAAAAATAAAAAGACTTTGAAAAGTCTCCCAAAAGGCAATCACCAAATAAATGCAAACTTTTTAAAACTAAACAAGTGGCAGCCATTCAAGGGACATTGGAAAACATGACCCTTTTTTCCCACTCAATTGTTCTCAAATCTAGATCATCTCTTTGCAAAGGTTTCAAACTTTCACACAACCCCAAGTGCAAGACGTCAGTCACAAAGGCGTACTCCTCTTGAGCATTAGTCAAAGATGTCCCTCGACACGGCTTGGTCAAACTGAGTGGGAAGAATGTCGAATCATTTACGCCAAGTGTCAGCAAGCCTCACCTCCAATCCGACTCATTTTCAAAGGATAGTGGGGAACAAACACGCCACACCTAATTTTGCAGTCTCCTCAGCAATCTGGTACAAGATCATCCCATATGTTATGCGATTTTTGGATATGTTATTATGTTACAACACAGAGCATACAAAACAGGACCACAACAAATGATATAGCTCCGAACAGCTCAACAAATGCAACAGCGCCAGATGTAGCAAAAGCAACCACTAATAAAACAACAACACGGTTGGACCAACAAGCAAAGCAGCAGCTCACCGAGGCACACACAGAAGCATTAAAACCCAACTCCAACCTCATTTATCCTACCCTACTCGATCCAGCAAGCGTGATGGCAGCACTTGAAGGGGAAAGTTATGTGTCATTATCTCTTTTTAACTACCACTCTATTTGGTTAAATCTTTCTCTATTCGACTATTACTTAAATACATGCAGCCCATTTTTCCATTTAACTCACTCTTTATTCATCCATAACACATGGACATCATGCATATTAACTCTCATTCGACTATTTACTTGAAACATGCATGCATGCATGTCATTGCTCCACTGTTCAATCGAATGTTTTTACTACAAAGTCGGTACGCCGACTGGCCACATAGCCCTGAAGGTTTCAACTACAAGTCGATCACACCGACTTGACTGCAAGCTCCATACAAGCTCCACTTGGCATACACCTTCGGATCGACCTTACTCGATCCACAGATTTACACCTTTGGATTAACCCTGCTCAATCCACGGATCTAACCTTCGATCGCCCTGCCCATCACGAGTTTCCACCTTCGGATCAACCCTGCTCGATCCATGGAATTACCCCTTCAATTACCCTGCTCAATCCACGGATCTACACCTTCGGATCAGCCCTGCTCGATCCACATTTGCACTTCGGATCGACCTTGCTCGATCCATGGATTTATACCATTGGATCGGCCCTGCCGATCCCGGATTTACACCTTTGGATTGACCCTACTCGATCCACGATTTACACCTTCGATCGCGCCCTGCCCGGTCCATAAAGTTACACATTCATCGCCAACCGGTTGAAGGGTTCTTACACCTCAAATCGATAAGTCATCGACCAATCCCCCACAACGATCCATCCGACCTAGCGAGCTGCTATCACTAATCCGCTCAGTCTACACTCATTCGATTAATCTACTCTCTCTAAGCTATAGACTCTTTAACTTAGAGAGTGGGAGCTAACTGTTAGGCAAAAATCCACTTGGGCGTGACGAGACCCAATAACAAATAAACACGTACGGCCCAAGGCCTCAACCCAATCCCAATGGGCCTATGCTTAAAATCACGCTTGCGACCTACCCACTCTATGAGTGGGCTATCCTATAAGTTAAGCTAAATTGTGTTCAGCCCATTAGCCTGCAACAGTTTATAAATGGAAATCAGAATCCCATTATATTTCCTCTTCTACTAGATTTCAAATCTTACTTAACACTATTAAACTTAATCTGATAGGCTAAGAAACATATTTCTTTCTTGATAGGGATTATCTCCCAAAAAAAAGGACTCAATGTCCTACAAAGATTCCAACGCCTTGGGTTCACTATAAGAACAGAGGCTTGCCCTCTCATTAGGTATGCAATCTCTCACAGTCAATCTACACTATTTAAAATCATTTATTTGCTCCTAAAGTTCTTGCTCCCAAGAACCCGACGCCTCTACCGTAGTCCTAGCCTCTGACAAGACTCCTGGTAATTGTTTATCTTCTTAATTCTTATCAAATAATCTCTTTTACCTTGCTGACTTGAGC